GCCAGAGGAACTCAACATGCGGGCTCATTACTTCTTACAGCATTAAGCTGTGTGATGGGTCACACATCAGCATTCCAGAATTTACCTTCTGGTCTAGAATGGATTATAGCTAGACCTCAGTTGTCACAGTGCTATGAATACAATCAATCTTTGTTTCTATTTTTTCCTTCATTATCTGGCCTATGGCAGACCTGGTCATGGTCCACTACAGAAATATAGGTACCTTTCATGACTCATAAGAAAGAGGTTCTCTATGCTATTTCTGAAAAGATATCCTATAAGATATCCCTTAGAAACAATTTCATAAGATGATTCTGACAAACCAAAATACAACTATGCCCCAAATTACCCATATATTTTTGATATAATTAAGCCATACTTTAGTTTCATTTACCATGTCATAAAATGTTTCTTTTTATATTTTTTACTCCAAAGACTCAAGAGTGTTTTTTTTGATCAACATGTATTCTATTATGCATCCACTATGTTCCAGGCACTAAAAAAAAGACTTCAAAAATGAGTTTTTTAAGGAACTTAAACTTTTCAATAATAAAGTTCTTTTAGTAATTCAAGATTTAGATAAGACTTCTGCCATACTTTCTGTCATACATCACTGTGGTTTTTTTTTGAGCACTATCGAAAAGGAAGTATCTGTATTTACCAAAGTGGATCAGATACCTCCAAGTGACACGGTACAAACTTCGAGAGGAAAACTAGCCAACACGAGCCTAAGAGAATCTTGCACAGAGCCAGCAGTTATTTATTACAAAGACTGTGTTTCAAAAAGATTGGGAAATCAGTGAGACATAATATCAAGTCTGCCAAACCAAAGGCAAATATTGCTAGAGGGAGGATTTTCATCGCTGATTTAACCACACACAAACCTATAGCTCTAAGGATTCATGGAATTTAACTGGCCTGCTTATCAAGAATACTGCCTATCAACAAAATTTAAGTACTTCATAGGGAGTTACTTTTCTTTCTTTTTTTTTAATTAAGCAAAATCCGAGTCAGGTATATGCCTAAATTGCTAGCAGTTGCCAGGTAAAAGTGAAGTCAGCAACACAATAGGATTTTTAACTACTGAACTGCATCAAAGTTCTGATTTCCACAATCAGTGGAGAGTCAGCCTAACACCACAGGCAAGAACTACCTTTAGGAAGAAAAAATCTACACATGGCCTAAGGCAGCCCTGCTTAACTTGTCCACCAAAGTGCTCCTCACTGACGACTGTGAACTGGTCCCAGAGTCTACTACCAACACCCTCATGTCTCACGTGTGACCTTTCACGTTCTCTATAATTAATGTAATTTAACTGCAGTGTGATGTATTTCCAAGTTCATTTGAATATAATAACAACCAGCACTTACCAAAGACTAACAGCTTGACAGGCACTGTGCGAAGAATTTCACATCAATTACCTTATTTACTTCTCACGCAAGAACAGGTACTATTTCTATCACCGATTATGGTGGGGAAACTTTAGCTCAGACAGGCTGAGAAACTTCCCCAAGGTTATGAAATTCACAAGCAGTGGCGATGGGATGCAAGTTGCCCAGTTTCTAATTCATCTTCTCTGATACGTTACACTGCAGCGTTTTAACAGACTTTGCAGTTAAATTCGCTACCTCCTCGGTGAGCTAACTTTTTCTGTAAAGGGCCACAGAGTAAATATTTTCAGCTTTGCAGACCATGTATGGGCTTTGCCGGCTACAACAACTCAATTCTGCTGTTGTGGATGGCACCACACGCAGCCCTCAAAGCAAGGAGTGTGGCTGTGTTCCAGCAGAACTTCATTTACTGAAACGGGGGCAGGCCGATCTGGGCAAGAGCTTGAGAACAGTTAAGTAAACTTCATGTTCCAGACAGATATGCGTATTTATTCTGTGGCTTTGTATTATCTCCTATTATGTATGTTTGGGACGAACAAGTAGATAGAAAATGGGTCAAAAAAAAAAAAAAGCAGCCAATGCCAAAAGGTAAGGGAAAGGGGTTTAGTGTTTCTATGCTGTTACCAACTAATCTAGTAACAACGACAGGGAATCTACATGTCCTCCCCGCTCTCCCTCAGTCCTGGGTTCTCTGCCTCCACTGGGCCCGGGGATATTCTCTCAGCATCTGGCATCCTGGACAGACCACAGCAGATTTTCCATGAGCTGTGACTCTCCCTGTACAGTGGTTATATCTTATCTTTCCACCTAACTGGAATCCCACTCCCTAGAGTCCAGTGAATTTACTGATTATCCTCTCTACACGTTTTAGGTCCTATCTCCGAGTCTTTGCTCATGCTAGGAAAACTGTCCCACTCTGTCAACTGATTCCAATAGCTAATTCAGGAAACGCATTACTGCATTCCCAGTTCAAAATTCCTAGTCCTTGGATTCACCTGTAAGACATCATTTCTGAACATGCCAATTATACTTGTGTATTCTCTTTCAACTGTTGACTCACTTATTTCAAATACTACAACACTGACACCATGAAAGAGTTAAGAGAATCCCCGAAGTGTTACTGTCACTGGATGTAACTGGTAACTGGCAAAAGTAGTTAAGACTGAGTTTAGAGAGTTAGCTTCGTTTTCATGTTCTGAATGATTAGAAGAAAAGGCAACCTTTACTTTCATACAGAGCTGGAAGGTAAAGGTTATTCAGTCATAGAACACTAACGGTAGTTTGGGATATCAAAATCAAGAAGCTGAAGTAGACCAAAAAATCTGGGGGCACTAAAATGTCTAAAGGTACTAAAACGATGGACAGAAAATAAAATGGAATATGAATGACATTACAAATTCCTGTTAAGAAAGAATGCCTTTGATTACTAAGTGTATCTTGAGTAATTTAATTAAAAAGAATAAAATATTCAAATTATTATGTTTTTTGCATGTTCCTAAGACCTTCATTGAGACCACCGAGGAGGAAGACGACTGTCAAGAAATGTATAGTGCAGGACAGTTTGGTACTCTGTCCTTGATTCTTGACTGCTGCTCTTCCTTCACTCCTCTGGGTTACTTCACTGTGCCACAGCGCATCACGTTTCTCTCTGCTGATGCCAACTGTGCCTCTTCTCCAATAGCAGTCTTCTCTCGGATTTCTATACTTCAATTTTAAAGAAGCTTGAAAAGGTCCCTTTGTTCTATTTTTTTTTTTTTGTCTTTACCGTCTCGATGTTTGTGATTTATTTCTCTCAAGTCTGCTAGTAATAATGTACTCTCATTTTTAAAAACCGTCTTACCAAAATAGATTCTGAAAATACTATTTGAAGAATCTGTCCCTTTTAGGAGAGAATCTTACAAACAACATGGAACTTAATTTTTTTTTTTTTTAAAGATTTTATTTATTTATTTGAGAGAGAGAATGAAAGACAGAGAGCACGAGAGGGAAGAGGGTCAGAGGGAGAAGCAGACCCCCTGCTGAGCAGGGAGCCTGATGCGGGACTCGATCCAGGGACTCCAGGATCATGACCTGAGCCGAAGGCAGTCGCTTAACCAACTGAGCCACCCAGGTGCCCGACATGGAACTTAATTTTTAAAAAAGTATTTAGAGTGATTTCACGGCTCAAAGTCAGAGTTCAGAGTTAAAAAAAAAAAAAATATGGCCATCGATAAGGAGTTAATGTCAAAAAATCACAGAAACAAAATTCAACAGTTACACAAGTACGGCAAATGGTGCGTCCTCTATGCATCGCACAAAATGCATATTCACACATTAGAGACTGAGAAAGTTTGCATAAAGAAACGTGTTCAACATTCCAACAGTATCCTCTAAACATGCCTGACCCCTGAAATTTTTACCCCCAACATCTATTACCAGCTCTTAGCACTACTGTTTTCATGGAAAGCAGCCAGGGAAACTTTTGGAGAATTAATTAATAGCCTATTAAATTTAAGAGGCAGTTTAAAATTTTAGCTATATCATTATTAATTTCTTCATATTCCTTCTGGAAATTCCTAATACAGTTTAATATATACTTATCTAATACAGGTGAATATAATTCCTAATCTGGCTGAATAGATCGGCATTGATAAATGCTATAATGAAACATAAGAAGTTATGACTTGGAACTATTTACCAATGAGCACTATAAATTCACCATGATCACAGGGGAGCTTAGCCCTGGCTTTGCCATTTGTTAACAGTATGACCTCTGGGATAAAGAGATTCAAAGTCTCCCCGAGTTTTGATTCACTTATATCTAAAGTGGGGCCAGACTTGCCATAACCAATTGGTACATTTTGAGAATCAAGTCATCAAAATCAAGAACAATTCTTCATAAACAATAAAGTGTTACAAAAATAAAAAGAGTTATAAAAGTATAAAAATAATATATTATTTCATTAGTTTCTTTTTTATACAGCCATACTAAATGCTGTTGTGGTTTTCTTCTTCTCTTGAACTCTGCCTAGAATGCGATCTTAGAATTGCCAAATCCCTCATTTTACTTAGAAAATTAATTTTTGGTTAGTCATTAATCATAATAACGTATCATCAAACTTCTTTCAGAAAATGCATGGCAGGGGCGCCTGAGTGGCTCAGTCAGTGAAGTGTCTGCCCTCAGGTCAGGACATGATCCCAGGGTCCTGGGATTAAGCCTGCGTGGCTCCTTGCTCAGAGGGGAGTCTGCTTCTCCTGCTCCCTCTGCCCCTCCCCCCTGCACATGCTCTTTCTCTCTCTCAAATAAATAAAATCTTAAAAAAAAAAATGCATGGCAAAAACAGAAGAATCAGAAAACTGTTTAAACGAAGAGACTTATTGCAAAGTCGCTGGCAAGCAGAACCACCTTTCTCTGGGCTCTCTTATGAACCCATCTGTGGCCACCCTTCGATGCCGGTGAATAGACAGTAGGGCTCTATATTCTTTGAGTCCTTCATTAAACTATTGATCCCTTTAGCATTATCCATAATGTTCCAGCAGCTCAGCACGTCAACTGGTAAAGTGCTAGTCTCTTATTCCTTTCAATAACTTCCACACTTTACAGAGAGGAAGTCACAATGATTTATTTACCTGACATTTTCCAGTCCGGATGTCGTACAGGGCCACTGAACCATGGCGAGCTCCAACTGCTATTCTGTGATTCCGCTCATAATAGCTGACCATGTAGAACCTGAATTGAACATTTTAACAACAACAACAACAAAAACAAAACAAAAAACTCAGGTGAGATGACCTGCACATGCAAGTGGACAGAACATATCTCAAAGATGGAAGTCAGCTCTGATATATATTTTTAAATAAATATATCTATAATTAATACATCAAGATTTTTCAGAACTGTTTCATTTTAGTAACTCTTAAAATCAACTGAAAGAAAAATGATGCAGAATACCACTTAGGCTATTAATTATTTTCAGTAGAAAACAACTTCCTCATTACAAACACCTTTGAATTTTCAAGCAAGAAATAGGGTCAAATACAAAAAAGATTTAATAAGAAAACTCAGTTCTGCTATAGTAATTATTATGCAAATACTTCTATTTAAACAGAATGGAAAAGATGAAAAGGCTTACATCTTCAATCTAATTATGTTCTCACATTTTATTACAATATTAAGGAGTGAAACATACTTTCTAGCGGACTACAGAAAAGCTACATTAATATTATACTTAAGTTCATATCAATAATTTAGAATGAAATTGGTAAGTTATCCATAAGAAAAAAGTTATCTGGCAAATTCCACAGATTTTCCGCATTTGCCGGTTTATCTAAATGACAGCTGTGACTATAGGTAGTTTAAGTAAGCACATTTGGTGCTTATGTGGCATTACATGAAAAGAAAACTGAGGGAGGATGATTTGAAGGTTATAAGAGGTTAATTTATTTTTATTTATTTCTCTTTTCTCTAAGTTAATTTGCATGAGTAGATTAGGTATCTGAATTTCTGATCTATTCTTTGCCATAATGATTCATGGCCATCTGGCTAGAGCCTGGGAAGATATGAATAAAAATTATTATAAGTGTAAATAAGGTATGATTTTATATCCCTAAAGAGTTTTGAATATACCTTCCCATTATCTAGTGCTATTGTCTCAGTATGAGGTGCCCAGATGAACAAGTGACCTACCCTAAATATTTATGAGGATATTACATCAATTCTACCACACATTCCTTGCCTTTTTTCTCTGTGGTGTCATACTGCCAACCTAACTTTTCTGTTATTATTTTTTCAAAGATGGGAAGGGGAGGTAAAGGAGATGACAGCGAGGAAATATTTCTCTAATGCTTTCTTGAAATGGAGTAAAAAAACTACTAGGTCATGTGACGACATTTCTGAAATTCTGGTAAGAGAGGCTGAGAGACAGACAAGAGGTTTAAATGTGAGCATTGTGAAACCAGCGACATTGTGATAAAGCCATCTGGGCATGAGATGGCATTATAACATTCACACACATTTCATAAATCTGGAAAATGAGATACTGTTTTAAAACTCTTTGTTACTTATGAGCAAGTGGTGGATTCAATACTTCTGTCCTATCCCTAAGCCTTACCCAGTAACGCAACTCCTTTCCCTTCAGTGGAAGATTAATAATGCTTCATTTTTTAGTTGCACGAGAGACACTACTTTAGGATGTCCTGCTGGTTTTGCTGTGCTCAGGTATGGAATGTCCTCTTTGTACACTGGTTTGAGGGAAGTAAAGGCACTGAAGGCTCCTGATACATAAGAAGCTTCCCCACTATTAAGTGGTTAGTGTAAGGTTGATTTCTCAAAGCTTTTTCTGTCTGAAGCCTCATATTACTCTCCCTCAATAGAGAAGGTAGGGATCAGCACTCAAATTTCAATGTTCCTATACTTGAAAATTAAAAAAAATGATCTAGAAGACTTTAAAAACATTTACTATTTTGTTATTGAATCAATACAGTGGTTTAAGCTTTGGGCATCACTATGTATCTACACCTACATCTATACACACAGAAGCACACATAGTTTACTCCCAATTACAGTAACATGGAACATAATAGCTAACAAATGTTTTAACAAATATTTATTCTGTTCAGGTTAATAGCCACAAGAAAAGAAAATTTCCAGAAGTATTTTTAAAATCTATTATTAAACTTTGCACAGATGTAGCTGCAATACTGCTGAAATCTGTCTGCAAAACATGACTATAATTACCCCTCAAAATAATCCTCTTCAAAACAAACCTGTGGTAAAATACATTTATGTGGACAAAATTTACTTAAACTAGAATTTTAAAAGTTCTTGTTACATTGGCCATCTTCTATGCTCTGGATATCAACCTCATCCTTCTATATTGTCTATAAACACCATAATTTACGGAAGAAAAAAAGATCAAATCTATTCTTGGTATCAAATCTTTAGTTTTCCTGAAAGGACCATATATTACAGGTCTGCATTTATCATTCTTTGCAATTTACTGCCAGAGTAATACTTCTAAACAAGCTCTTAAACAATTCTGGACAGTGACGGTCTTATGGTATGTTTTTATCTTTGGATTTCTTGTTAAACTTTTTATTCCTTTAACAGTGTCTCTTTCAACAGAAGAAATCCATGGTGTGTATGTAGTCACTTCACAAGTATCCACTCTGGGAGACTGGCTGCAGTGAGCCTCTCTCTGAAGAGGGTTTCCAGAACCCATCATACCCCTAAACTACTCTTCTCCTAGAACTAGTTTTCCACTGAGGGACTGTCAAGATTAGGAATAGTGAGATATGCATTAGTTGCTCCTACCTGCAAAGGTATCAATGGATTGAAGAGGAAGATCCACTAGTTTTTAAAATTATTCTAGATGCGACCTGATCCTACATGAAAATCTTAAATTCCTTCAAAATTTGGGAGGGGGGTGTTCTCAGAGTGAGGACTGATGTGTGCTGCGTCTTCTAAAATGGTATTTCAGTCCCCAGTTCACTACATCGATAACATGTCACTTGGGCAGCTTTCTTGGGTAACAATCTGGTAAGAATCCCTTTATTATATTCAAATCAGAACAAGGATCTCCGAAACTTGGCCCATCACAAGGAAACTCTCCTAAGTGTCTCTCTCTAGAGAGAACACTACAAGTATGTGAAAGAAGAGTAAACTGGAATCAAGTAATGTTACAAAATATATTTCTTACTGGGGTTGGGGTGGTCATCATCCAAGAAATTTAGTCACTGATCCCACACTTTCATTACTGCCCACATGCAGCCAGGGTGATCCTTTTCAACCATTAATCAAACCACCTCTCTCTTATGTTCACAACCACCCTTCAAGACCCTTATGATGTGATCCCATCTCTCAGACTTCATCTTCTCTCCCCCTGTTCTCTCTGCTCTAGTTACACTGGTCTCACGTACTTTCTCGAATATGCCAAGAATGTTTCCACTTTGGAGCTTTAACACTTGCTGCTCCCTCCACTTGAAAACCTCATCTGCTCGGTATCCCCATGGCTTGTACCCTCCCTTCATTTAGGTCTCTGTTCCAAGGTGATCTTGACAAAGATCTTCATGGGCCATCTTATCTAATATAGTAACCCTTCCTCTGTTATTCTGTAGTCCATTATCCTATTCTTTTCTTTAAGATTTTGTTTATTTATTTGACAGAGAGACACACAGTGAGAGGGGGAACACAAGCAGGGGAGTGGGAGAGGGAGAAGCAGGCTTCCTGCCGAGCAGGGAGCCCGATGTGGGGCTCGATCCCAGAACCCCGGGATCATGACCTGAGCCGAAGACAGACGCTTAACAACTGAGCCACCCAGGCACGCCCTATTTTTTTCTTTATTGTACTTAACCATCTCTGATATTAAACAATATTTTGTTTATAGCTGTTTCTCTCCACCAGAGACTTTATCTTTTGTTGAATGTATGAATACATAAATATGGTCCAAATGAGCAGTAGAAAGTAATGCAGTAAGAAGTTCAAACACTGTACTTATCCTCCAGTGACTAGTACACACGCTATGCAAAACATATTGATTTTTAAGACCAATGAATATTTTATAGGGTCTAAAATAATAATTGAGATGGGGAAACAAAGGAAACAAAAACTATCCAAAAAAGTTAGGCAGAAGTTAAGAAACAGAAGTCAAGAAACTGCCATGACCCCTCTAAAAATACATTTTTAATTGAGACAAACAACTGCAGATTTGTATGAAATTATCTGTAAAGGTCCCTGTGACCTGGGTATGTTAGCATGCAGCTGATAGTTTCATAATGGAAACTATTTAATTATACCTTAGGGAACTAGAAAAGATTACCTGAACTGAAATTCAAGAAGGCAAATATAGTCTAAATAATGATGTATATAAGAAAATATGTATTTTTGGTATAAGTGTTGTTATGGAAAAAAAAATTATGCTAAGAATCTGCAAGATATAACACCATACATAAATGTCAATGAACATGGTATTATCACACAAAACATAATTAAAAGAAATAACTTATCAATCATCAGTAAACACTGGAATAGATTATTTCTCCAAAGCCATATCTGTGACTTCAATTTTTCAGGACTAAGTCACAATGGGGTGTCATCCACTCCACAATGGGTGTGAAACACAAATGTGAACTGAGTGCAGGATCCTGGAGCAAACCACTTTGCTCACGAGTTTGCCAAGCACCCAGTGCCTGAGTCTCTAAATAACTTTGGTACTCTCTATTTATAGTCTCCTATAAATTGAGACCTTTTTATCTTTATTAAAAATGGCCTTCAAATAAGAGAACACTGATGTGAAATTTAAAAGTCAATTTGGAAACACACAGGAAAAGGAAACATCCAACTCTCGGCAAAAGTGTGATTTGGGAGGAACCCGTAAAATCACTTTCTTAACTATGACTTGGGTACTCTCCAATGATCTCAGGATGTTAAGTTACTACTGTTTATCATGTCCTTGAGCATTAAAAAGCAACAAGAAACACTCTTCAATACCATTTGTATGGAAAGTCTGCAACTTTCTTTCCTTCTCTCAACACTTCATGGAATGTCGCCCCATGTCAGTATACAAGATCCCATGTCATTCTTTCTCATCCCTGAATTGTACTCCTGTGTATGTATAGTCCTTTATTTAACTATTCCCTTCCTGACAGTTAAGTTACACTGTATATGGATCCTTATATATATAGGTGACTGTTTCTGTAGGATAGAATCCCCAAAGCGAGATTCTGGATTAA